GTGAACGTGGAGCCCGGGGAAGGGAGGCGCGGGAGAGCGCGGAGCCGGGTCCTGCTGGGGCCACGGGTGCCTCCCCGCGCGCTCCCCCGAGCTCTGCGGGGACAGGCCGCGCTATTTACCAGGCTGCTGGAGCAAAACAGTGACCAAAACTGCAGCCAATTATGCAGTGATTAGATAAACGAGCTGGGAGTACGTTAATTAATGATCACCCGCCCAGGAAGATGCAGCCATAACGAGCGCGGGGCCTTTTCTGCTACATAAGCGTGTGCAGATACCTCCTTGTGCAGCTCCGAGATGCGACGGGGCTGCCCGGCTCTGCCCTTCGCGCGGGGAGGCTTTGGGGTAAAACCGGCCTCATTCCAAACGTCCCCTATGCCAGGCACCATCCTCATGCCCCTGTGCTGGCGTGGCCATGAGGGCTCCCCCGGCCCCGCTCCCTCTCATCCCACCGGAGCCTCTGGTTCTGGTGGTGGTCCCGTGGGGTTTGGGTCGGGAGCCGCGTTGCGCCCCGCTCGGCCCCGCTCGCCCAGGGTGGCCCCGAGCCGAGCTTCTGCAATAACCTGAACAGCTGCTCTCACTGAGATCATGATATTCCAGCTCGCAGCTATTAATAGTGATATCGCTGCTTCTTAGCGATGCACAGAGCTGTCATAATATGAGATGTAAAAATATTTTGCATCAAATTGAACAGTCAAAGAAATGCCATAAGCTGCTGGAGAAAGCGCCTTTCCTCCAACACATGAGATACTGCTATGAAGCCTCTTAAGCTTTTTATTTTCTTTCACTTAATTGCTGATTTCTGCTTGAAAAATCAGAGAGTTACTTAAGGTCAAAGCAGAAGCATTTTGTTTTTTAAATGAATAGATAATTTTATTCCCATTAATGAAATGTCTAGGTCTGCATGCTGAGATGATAACACAAAGTAATCAAATCTCATGCTCCAAGGCATAAACTGATTGTCCATGAGGGTCAGGGATGGTTTTTCCTGTTCTGCCGAGAACTGAACAACGGCCTCGTTCACACGAGGGCTCCTTCGCGGGGCTCCGGTGTGCGATGCCGAGCAGGACCCGTGTTGGATTCCGTGCAATGTCCCTGTCTGCGGGCGCCGCTGGGCTTGGAGCCGCCGAGGAGCTGCGGGCTGATTCCCGGGGCTCTGGCGCGGGGGCCTTGCCGGTGTCCAGGGGAGGCCGGGAGGCTCCAGGGCTTTCTGCTGGCCCTCAGGGTGCAGCGGCCAAGGCGGGAATTACTCTCTCCTCCTGTCCTGGAGGTGAAATTCAGGAACCTCCTTTTCTGCAATAACCTCCTGCCTTGCAGGAACCTCCATCCCTGCAATAACCTCCTGCCTTGCAGGAACCTCCATCCCTGCAATAACCTCCTGCCTTGCAGGAACCTCCATCCCTGCAATAACCTCCTGCCTTGCAGGAACCTCCATCCCTGCAATAACCTCCTGCCTTGCAGGAACCTCCATCCCTGCAATAACCTCCTGCCTTGCAGGAACCTCCATCCCTGCAATAACCTCCTGCTCTCCGGTGGGCACTGCAGCGGTGCCTGGGATCCTCTTTGGGATCGGAGGTGGCAGCAGCACCCTGTGCAGCTGAGAGCAGCCCGGTGCGTTGAGCCCTTCGGGTAGCAGAGCCCTGGAGCCTGCAGAGCCCGGGGGCGCTGGGGTGGCCCCAGCCCCGTGGTGGCTGTGACGTCCACGCACCATCAGTGCCATCGTCCTGGCCCCCACATGTCCCTCTGCTCCTCCTGCCCTTCCCTAGCTGGGCAGTGCCTTGTTGGGGCTCATTGTGGGATTTTTCCCTAATGCACTTCTGCATTTTATAATTCAAGAATGTGGTTATAAAGATAGGCCTTTTTTTTTTTTTCCCTTTTTTCCCCCTATCAAAAAGGCACAGATAAAAGCCTGTAACAGTGAAGAGAAAATATGTATTCTTCTCCTCTGATAAGGGGTGACGGGAGGCAGGCACTGCAGCCCTATCAGTGCAGAGCCTTGCAGGGTCCTTGGAAATTAAACTCATTACTTAGAGATCGCACGGAGCAGATTGCAAGCCTTTCCGCTTGGATGGCACAGAGCTTTCTGTAGAAGATTTAGACCGAGAGTCCAAATTAAGCCACTGTGTATCCTTGCCAGCACAGAGCCAGGATTTATGTCCAACATTTTAAAAAATATATATTAATTTATTAAATGACATATGAAAATAATTGCCTGCATGCTATAGAAATAGAGTTGGGGTGCCCACGTCGCAGCAACGGCCATAAAAGGGACATGATGTGGGGCCAGGGCCGCGTGTGGGTGCAACGGGAGCCAGCGGGACACCGGACCCTGCTCCAGGGGACGGGTCCTCCTGGGCTCTATCGGAGGGACCCGGCTCATCCCCGTTGTGTCTGGGCTCATGTGTATTCTTGCAGTTTGAATATTGTTTCTTTTTTTCTGTATTCTTTCCTCCTCAGTAAGAGATGCTAAAAACCTAGTCCCTATGGATCCCAATGGCTTGTCAGATCCCTACGTGAAGCTTAAACTAATCCCCGACCCCAAAAACGAAAGCAAACAGAAGACCAAAACTATCAAGTGCTCCCTGAACCCAGAGTGGAACGAGACATTTAAGTTGTAAGTACAATAAAAACATTCAAGCTGATTTCCCTTGGCCCCAAGAATTAGCGGGTGATGCTCAACGCAGTTGCTCAGCGGGACTCAGTGCATTGGCTTGGTCCCGTGCGGGCTGCGAGCGAGCCCGGCTGGCTCCGCGCTGTCCGGGTGCTCGGGGACGATGCCCAAGACGGAGCGGTCCCCAAGGACCGTCCCCTGCGGCCGGCGGGGCGCAGGGCCTGGCCCCGCAGCCAACGCGGCTCTCGCCGCCCCGTTGCAGCCAGCTGAAGGAGGCGGACAAGGACCGGCGGCTCTCGGTGGAGATCTGGGACTGGGACCTCACCAGCAGGAACGACTTCATGGGCTCGCTCTCCTTCGGCATCTCCGAGCTGCAGAAGGCCGGCGTGGACGGCTGGTAAGGGGCGCCGGGCAGAGCGCGCTGCTGCGCGTTTCCGTGTCATCTCCCGGGCAGGACTCGGGCCTTCCCATTCCCATTTCTTTTCCCTTCTGCTCGCTGCTGCCCAGCAGCTCCGCTGCCTTCCCGCGCTTCCCATGCAAAGTGAGGCCGTTTAGAGCAAGTTTGACACCTCCTTCGGCAGCCCGAAACCGCGTGGTACCAGTTTGCATCGGGCAAGGCGAGGAAGCAGCCTGGCTGCTCCGTCTGTGCCCCTTTAGAGAGGGAAGGATCAGCAGAGAGCAGCGTGCGTGCACTGAACACAGCTGTACGATGCCGCTGCTGCAGGAGCCTGGGGAAAAACCACCCGATGCTGGGGTTTGCTTCTCCTTGAGAGGGGACACAGCCGCATTTCCAGGGAAAAAGGCAGCGGCGATGAGCTGGAACGCCGAGTGAGCAGCCGGCCACCCCATGCCCCGGAGCGGGCTCTCCGCCCCGGCCTTGCTTTCCCTGAGGGCCGGGATGTGGGAAGGCCCGGAGCCCTGCGGGAGGGAACGTGCAAAGATGGCATCTTTTATCCATGGGGTTTGGGTCAGGAAGAGGAGGGTCATCTGGAATGAGATCAGCGTAGGGAGAGCTGGATGCAGAGCTGCATTGCACCGCGTTGAGTTGAGCTAATGTCAGTCTGTGATTCCTGCCGTGCTGATGCAATGACCTCGCTGTGTCCCCCAGGTTTAAGCTGCTGAGCCAGGAGGAAGGAGAGTATTTCAACGTCCCGGTGCCCCCGGAGGGAGAAGAAGGAAACGAGGAGCTGAGGCAGAAATTTGAGGTGAATTGACTTTTCTTGGGAATTTTCCTCGGTGCTTCTCCTTGCTGCCAGCCTCGGGCAGGCTCTGCTCTGGCCCGAGGGCTTTGCTGTCCGGTCCTGTCCCTGCCTGCATGGGAGGACGTGGGCAGGGCTGTCCCCACGCTCCTCCCGCATCCCGGAGGTGGCTGCTGTCACCACGCACAGTTCTCCCCAGCCAGCAGCACCTCGGGAAGCTTGGGAAGAGCAGGGGAGTCTGTGCGGGGCCGCACGGCACCGGGGCTCCCAGCGGCTGCGGCCGGGATGGAGCCGGGATGAGCAGGAAGGGGCTGTCGCAGTGTCCGGGCTCCTGTCTCATGCGTTTTGGTGACATTTGGGCTCTGCCTTCAAGGAGGCTTCAAGGAGAAAGCCCCATCTACCACTCAGTAAGCCATGGAATGATTGATCCAGACCTGACTGGATTAATAGCTCCCTCCTATCCCTCAACATCTTCCCAGAGCCCTGGGAAATGGGCACGTTACCATCTGGAGACACGTTTGAAATGAGCCATATAGGAAATAAAGCGTTTGGCCTTGCAGAAGTCAGCCTGACGTCCATAGCTGTAGTGTGCGACCAGAGAGATTTTTCTAAATGACCTTTTTTTTAAAAAAAAAAAGAGAAAGAAAAAGAAAATCTCACATATATAACTTCCCTGGATTTGCAAGAAAATAAGGCCGTTTTAATATGGCAGTGGCCATAACCATGCAGCGTATGTAACACGTAGCCAGTTTTACAAGGAATTAGCTGCCTGCCCGGCCGTCCTTGCGTTCCTTGGTGCTCAGTGGTGCCAAAGCCACGTGCGTGTTTGAAGTGTCGGGCAGGAGCCCTGCGGGTCTCCGAGTGCCCACGAGCGGCTCCGCGGGGACCCGCAGCACCCGCTGCCAGCTCCGCGATGCCTTTATCGGCCGGGACAGCTTGATAGATGCGAACATCCGCTGCTATTGCATAAATTCAGATGCAGCAAATTAAGTGTGACAAATGGGGTTGGATAACGAAGGTCAAATGCTTTTCAAATTTCTTTTGTGAGCAATATTTGGCACGCTTCAGTCGTAAAACTTAAGAAGGTCTCAGGATTGTGTGAGCATTAGGAGCACATTAAAAATAGGTTAAAGGACTTCTGTGCTTGCTTAGGGACAGGCATTAGGGACACGTGGCAGCAAAAACAGGACACGTCTGGGGTGGTCTGTACACCCCCCGGCTCCTCTTCTAGCTGCTGAGACCTTTCCCCCTTCTGCCCTAGCTATGTACTTGGCCTGTTTTTCTCGGAAAAGTAGCGTTGTGTTTAATCCCCATCTCCTCTCCTGGGGGATGCTGCAGAGTAAGGTCAAATGCAAGACTAAATATGGCTGAAGCAGCCCCATTTAAACACGGGCTTTGAGAACAGCTCAGGCAGCAGAGAGACCGGGAGCCACCCTCACCCTCGGGTACTCGGACGCTGCCTCTGCTACTGGGAGGCACCAGAATTTGCAAGTTTGCTGGGTGGAAACCCTTTGCCTTTTCCATCATCTTCTGTTGTTCTTTGCTGATCCGGAGGGAAAGTCTCGACCTGGCCAGGGTTTCCTTCCAGTTCCCTTGTCCGAGCCCGGTGCTGCTCCAGGGCTGTGAACGTGCCGGGGAACGTCCTCGTGGGACCCGCCGCGGTGGGTTCTGGGCTGTAGTTTGGTGGCAGCATAAAGCCTGCCCTTGACATTTGTTAAAGCTTGTTTTCACAAATTCAGTGTCAAATTTGACCTGACAAGATAGTTCCTTTACCTCTGGCCGTGTCGGGAGGCTTTTGCCCGGTCCAGGTGTGCGGTGTGCCGGGAGATGCGCGCTTCCTTGGAGCACAGCTCGGAGCGGGACGGGGCAGGATCGCGGCAGGCGGAACCTCAGGAATGGCCAAGGACAGAGTCTCCCGGGCTGGGCACTGTTTCACGAGGGGATCTCTGTGAGGTTTCCCTGCGTGTGGTTTCAGAAGCCGCAGCTCTTGCAGCGCTCGTGCGGGCAGCGTTTCCCCCGACGAGCCAGACAGAGCAGTTCATGACGGCAGAAGCCAGCAGGGACTTGCAGGGTTTCCTCCAAGCCGTTCCAAAGTGGAATGGCCTGGTGAGAAATCCCCCGGCTTTCGGAGCACTGCTCCAAAATCAATCATTATACAACGACTCTATTCGTTTTAAGTGCAGGACCTTCCCCTCCGGGGGCCGCGGCGCTGGTGGCTGTCACGGGTAGTGGCTGTTGAGCAATGCCAGCCCCTTCTCCGAGCTGCATTAGCAATTCTGATGTTTGGAAATCCTTGAGACCATTCCTTTGGTTTCCGTGCAGGCGCTTTCCTGCTGTTTGTAGGTGCTCAGGTGACCTTGAGCAGGAGCTTGACGGCGAGGAGAGCATCGCCAAGATAGTCGGCACTCGCAAATGCCCGGCTCGCGCGGCTCCTGTCTGCAGGCGCGGCGAGCGGCTCCAAATGGAACTGCTGCAATCGGGTTAATGGAATTTCATGCTAGACTGAGCCCGATGCAAGCGCGGCACTGTGGCATATTTCTAGAAATTAAAACAGAATAATTTGTGCAATAGCTTTTGCTCAGCAAGGAGAGAGCCCGGCCAACGGGCAGGGGTCGGGCAGGGATGGATTTTGTGCTCAGAATGGGGGTTTGGGGCTCTGTGACGGAGCAACCTGCATGGGGACGCAGAGCCCAGCTGGCTCTGCTGCTGCTTTCCCCCCAGGACGGATCTGGAGCGCCCTGCGCCCGCCTGGGCTGGCCCAGGAGCCCGATTCCCTCCCCTGTCGGATAGGAACAGAGTTGAAGCCTGTTAAAAATCCCTCATTTCACCCTAATACGCTAACACGTGCAGTCGCAGATCCTGTTCTCACAGGGCAGGGACTGGAGCGGGGCCAGCAGAGCCTTTTTTGCCTGCGGCTTCTCCTCTCCCCGGCATCGCAGGATGCACAGAGCTCCGTGCTCGCTCGGCGGGACCTGCTGGTCCTGTGGTGGCAGCTGGCACGAGGAGCCGGTGCCCATTGCACATCCCATGGGCGCCCGGCTCCCTGGGGACGCGCTGCGGGTCGCCGTGTCCCGTGGGATGCCAGAGGGATGGGAGCAGCAAGGGATGGAGAGGGGGGAGCTTTGCTTGGAGAGGCTGTCGGGGGGATGCTGAGAGCCCCCAGTGTCACCCACCACGCGGTCCCTGCCACGCGTTTGGGAGAGGTCTCCAGAGCCCAGTGTTGGAGGAGAAAGGAGCTGGTTTGGGGGCTTCAGGAGTGCGCGCTCTCATGCAGCAGCCTCTCTCCAGACCGCACTCAATAACTCTTCTCTTTCCCCCCTCCCGTCTCCATCTTCACAGAGAGCCAAGATCGGTCCCGGCTCCAAAGCGGCCGATGAGAAGATGATGAACGCGATTTCCAAATTCGATAACAACGGGAGCAGAGACCGGATGAAACTTTCGGATTTCAACTTCCTGATGGTGCTGGGAAAAGGCAGCTTTGGAAAGGTGTGGTAGGCCGTAATTATTTGCACAGCCGTGGTCTAAAACACAAGTGTCCGCGGTGTTGCTGAGGTGATGGTCCTGGAGCAGACACCGGGACCCTGCAGGCTCGGGATCCGGGTGCTCCCTTTCAGGGCAGCGTTTGCCTTTAAAGCCCGGCTCTTTATTCAGCCGTTTTTCTAATAATTACCAGTTTGCGCGAACATTTTAATTAACTTTCCAGGCCAGTTGTGAGCAGCAGCAGAATTTTGTTCCTCTGGTAATTGTGTGACTTGGAGCCTTCGTTGTCCTTGGGCCTTTGCCATCTTTGTCCTGGTTTTCCTTAGAAACCCCCATCCGATGGTGCCTTTCCCGAACGGCTGCAGCACCTGGAGCCGGAAGCCGCGGGGCATCTTCCCTCTCGGCATCCGGGAGCCGAGTTCCCTTTTTTCCTCTTCCTTCTTCCAATGTGCAAAACGTTCCCAGCCCCATTCGTGGGACTCATCCCTTGGCCCCTGTGCTCCCCCCAGCCTCCAGAGCCCGGTTCTCCTGCGCTCGCTCCTCCCGCGCGCGCTCGTTCCTGCGCGCCCTGTTCTGCTGTGCTGGATCCTCCCGCGCTCGCTCCTTCCCCTGGTGCCTGTTCTCCCCCGCTTGCTCATTCCTGCAGCGCCCAACTCCTGCGCTCGCTCATCCCCCGTGCTCAGCGCTGCCGCCTCGCTCATCCTCCCGCGCGCTCGTC